TTAGTCTTCGGAACCCAGCCAACCCTGGGGGCCTACCGACTAACACCCTGAGTCCGTGTCCGGAGAAGGTGATGCGTCTTACTCTCACCTCAATATCGCCCTCCGATCTCACACTTCTGACACCAGTTTTTCTGTCTCAAAGTGAGAATGATTTGTGACTTACAGCTGAGATGCTCTCTTCCACATATTCTCCTGTGTGGTTGGCTTCCTGGGAGGAAGAAAAACAGGAAGGGTGGGGGGCATCTCTCTCTTCTGAAGTAAAAAGGTGAGATTCTCCAGTAAATAAATGACTCCAAACAAACCAACAAGTCAGAATGAGTAGATTATTCTTTCCTCTTCAGCCAGGCAGGTAAGTTGCAAGTAAAATGCAGATAGAGATTTTAATGTAGGGTTTCTGTCTTTCCTAGTGGTCTGGTTATAGAACAAAAAGNATTCTTTCCTCTTCAGCCAGGCAGGTAAGTTGCAAGTAAAATGCAGATAGAGATTTTAATGTAGGGTTTCTGTCTTTCCTAGTGGTCTGGTTATAGAACAAAAAGGGAATATTTGTTTTGCTGCATCAAAGCATCCTTCCTGGTAGTTGTTTTCTTTTAAATGGTTATATCAAGAAATGGTCTGTACTCCACATGAAATTAATAAGGATGTGGGGTGGTTATAGACTGAAAGAATGGCATTATGCTAAAAGCAGAGGAATTAATGGTCATCAGTACACAAGCAAAAATGTCTTTAATAACTCCAGAAACCTGAGCCTCTCAAAGTGAGAAACATAGAGCATTTCAGTTTTTTTTATAAAGCCATTTCATATTTGATTTTTTGTAATCCATATAACTTGTGTTTATTAGATATATCCACTTTAAAGTCATGTGTGTACTATATCAGACCTGAAGGTATTAAAAAAATCTAAGGTGTCAACTCAGATGGGTCTGACCATCTAATAAAACAATAAGCACTTATTTTTCTTAACACCTTAAGTTCTATATTAGCTGCCACTGTGTTTATCTCAGTTAACTAGACTAATACTGCATTTCAAATGAATTAATGCAGGGAAGTTAAGGCCTTGAAGTATAGCTATGATGCTTTATAGGAAAAAAAAAAAATTGTGGAGACTTCCTTGGTGGTCCAGTGATTAAGAATCTGCTTTCCAGTGCAGGAGATGAGGTTCGATCCCTGGTGGAGAAACTAAGATTCCACATGTTGTAGGCCCTCGCACCGCAACTGGAGAAGCCTGTGTGCTTTACTAAGAACCAATGGAGCCAAGTAAATATTTAAATATTGTTTTACAAAAAGACAAAAAATGTGGGGATACAGATGAGGAACTAGTAAAATGTAAACTAGTAAAATGCCTAGGACCCTTTGAACAGATATCCCACTAGGGGTATTAATAAAGAAATCCTTCATTAGAAGGACAAGCTGAAAATAACCATTAATATATTCATTACCAGGCTGTCCATAGTTTTCACAAACATGTTTTTAAACTTCAATTAGGACACATGATCAGGTAAGAATGAGTACATGAATGAGAACAATAGAGCACGATATTTGAACCTGAAATGGTTTCAGAATTTCTTGAGTGGATGATTGCTATTCATAAAAGAAATAATGCCCATAATTAACAACTTTATGGAAGCCCCTGCCTTCATACTCAATGCTTATGTCCTTGTGTGGTTCCTTCCCACAATGAATCAGACAGACTGGTCTCTGCAACCAGTAGAACAATGGTAGTAATGATGTGTGTCTTTCTAAACCAGGTCATAAGAGGCATAGCTTTGATTTCTTGAATGTCATGCTCCAGGGGCAGCCAGCTGCCATGTTGCAAGAATCTGCAAGCAGCTGCACAGAAGAGCCAACACGGACAAGAAATCACCATCCTAGTGAGTGAGCCACCTTAAAGTAGATTCTGGAGGCCTAATCAAGCTTCCAGATAGATAACAGTAACCTCATACAACATCTGACTGCAATACCACTAAAGCCCCAGAGTCAGAACATCCCAACAAAGCCATCCCTAAATTCCTGATTTGTGGAAATTAAGAAATAAATGATTGGGATTGATCCTAAACATTTGTGATCTTTGAAAATAAACCTCAAATTCATCTCTGTTTATAAAACCTGGTTCTTGTCTTCCTGTAGCTTAAAATTTGGCAGAGGAACTTATATGGACATAAATAATCAAAGGATTGGAAGAAAAACTTAAGCATTCTCAGTAACTGCAGTGGAACACTGTGAATGCAGATGTGCCCTTGAACTTTACAAAGACTGTAAGAATGCCGGTGATTGTGTGAAAGTTTCCAAGGTGCTGTCACAACACATGCCTGTGAAAATATGCTCTGATTCCACAAGGAATTCCCAAGCTGGACCGCAAAGGATAGTCAGTGCAATAGTTGGTTGAGAGCATGGACTTTATAGAGCTGGCCTGGGATATTTGAGGGGCTCTCCCCACATGGTACTAGTGGTAAAGAACCTGCCTGACATTGCAGGAGACATAAGAGATGCAGGTCAGATCCCTGGGTCAGGAAGATTCCCTGCAGGAGGACATGGCAACCTACTCCAGTATTCTTGCCTGGTAAATCCCATGGACAGAGGAGCCCCAAGGCTACAGTCAGTGGGGTCACAAAGAGTTGGACACGACCAAAACAAATTAGGAGGCATGCATGCATGGGAGATTTGGCTCTCAGCCTGCCACAAACTAGCTTGTGACCTTGGTCACTTAACAACTCATCTGTAAAATGGGGATGATAATCATACTGGACTGATAACATTGTCATAAGAAAGAAATCCATGAGATGACACATATTAATAATGCACTTAGATCAACACCTTGGACACAGCACATATTCTTATAGCACCACAATCTCCATGGAGGGAAAAAAGCAACCCAATTAATTGCTAACCAACTTAAGGCTAGGGAAGAAACTTTACATGAAGTTAAGCAATTCCCTTTAAGTGATGGACTTCAGTGTGGACCTAATAGTGATATGTACATTTCCCATTCAGCCATTTATCTTGAACTTTTAAAAGCTTTTCAGGAAATTTTGAATCATTAATCTAGAGTGGATCTGAGAAATTAAGTGCTGAAGCCTTTTGTAGCTAAGAAGACTGAGGCCACAGTTGGGGTGGAGCTGGGGCTGGCCAGCCTTCCCTAACAAACAACACTAAAACCAAGCATAGACAGCTGATTTTTGGTTCTCTGCTCCTTCCACGAGTGTTCACTGGCCTGGGACTGAGTATTGAATACTCTTGACTTTCTAGTCACTGCAAAGGCATTTTAGCCTACCAAGAAGGTATTAATTCAACCAACATTTACTGTGATGGCTCAGCAGTTGAAGAATCCGCTTGCAGAGCAGGAGACGCTAGAGACAAGGGTTCAATCCCTGGGTCAGGAAGATCCCCTGGAGAAGGAAATGGCAACCCACTCCAGTATTCTTGCTTGGTAAATCCCATGGACAAGGAGTGTGATGGGCTATAGTCCAAAGGATCACAAAGAGTAGGACCCCACTGAGTGACTAAGCATGCCCAGTGATAGGAATGATGCTAGATGCTGAGGAGCAAAAGGTCTGATTGCCATGTTCCTGAGGACCACTCTACAGTAGAGGTTGCAGACATTTGCTAAATGATTGCGAAAATAGATGCTACTTCCGACTGTGTAAGTATCTTGTTGTTGTTCAGCCACTAAGTCATGTTTGACTCTTTGCAACCCCATGGACTTCAGGGGGTTTCACACTAGGCTTCCCTGTCCTCAATTAGCTCCGAGTTTGCTCAAGTTCATGTCAATTGAGTCAGTGATGCTTATAAACACACTTAGTAGAGGAATTTGGTTCCATCAGGAAAGACTTCCCCAAGGGAATGACAGTTGAGCCTAAATCTGGGCAAGGCTGAGGACAGGATAGAAAAGATGAGTGTTCCAAACAGAGAAAGCAGCCAAAACATTTAGAGGGCAGGGGTGGCCAGAACACCAAAGTGAGCGAGGGGAAAGGGGTACACAGAGGGTGAGGCTTGAGAAGTAGTTTCAGGTCAAGTCTAGACAGACCTTGAAGGTCATCTTAAAGATTTGGGGTTTTATATTAAATGGAGAACTACTGGAGAGTTTTAATCAAAGAGACAGTGTGATCACAATTCCCTTTTCTAAAGATTACCTTTCTCTGGAACAGGAGTCCCCAGACTCCGGGATCTAATGCCTATTGATCTGAAGTGGAGCTGATGTAATAATTAATAATAATAGAAACAAAGCGCACAATAAATGTAATGCTCTTGAATCATCCTGAAACCATCCCTCCTCCCTCGGTCCATGGAAAGACTGTCTTCCACGAAAAGGGTCCCTGGAGCCAGGAAGGTTCCTTAGGGTGGTGGCAGTGTAAATAGGGAAATGTGGATGGATTGAAGATACCTAGGTAGTAAAATCAATAGGCTTTGGTGATAGATTAGAACAGAAAGATTGGAGAGAGGAAATGGGAGGATGATAGCATGCCCCATCTCTGGTCTGCAGAACTGGATGGCTGGGGAGTGACATCATTAACTAGGGGAGGGAATACAGAACAAGAGTTAAGAACAGAAGCAGAACAAAGGATAATCAGCAATTTCATTGACATTTCACATCAAGTGCAAGTGCAAGAGCTTTCATAACTTTACAGTGAACGGGATGGACGGGCGGGGGTGTGTATTTGATGCGATGTCCAACCAGTTGGAGCTATCACTGAAATCCAAATAGTTCCCAATAAAGACATGCAGACCTATGGCAATGTAACACACAAGTATAGAATCCCGCCCCCTTTAGCGACTGATCACAATTTCATTATCTATATCTGTAGTTCTTAAAAAATTGAAATAGGTGGTATTGAAGGCTACTTGAGGCAACAGAATTAAGCTAACTACACACTCAATCATGAGCTCAGGATTGCAGGCAACATGTTTGCAATGGCAAATAAGCTTCAATATTCTTAACTCCCTTAAAAATTACACATTGAGAAAAATTTATTCCTTCTGATTACATCATTTGCTTGGGCTTCAACTTCTGCTCATGATAGTTAGGCTATACTTTTTAAATGTGGTTACAGTGACAGATGAGTGGGATTCACATTCTACCCATACGCTTTTACTATTATATATTAGTGTTCAAGTTACCTGTTTACCATAAAGGTAAACATGATTCAGACTGCCTCCAAGAAAGCCATTCCCAACATTATACAGTACACTTACAGGGCAAAATATATTGCTATTTACCAAAGGAAGAGAAACCCAGGGATTCTCATTTATTCAAGTTTATTGTCAGTAAAATTTTCGAAGGGAGAGACTTCATGAATGGTCATGACCTAATCGTATCCTCAGAATTACCAATTAAGGGGGGAAAGCGCATTGTAATTGTTAAAATTTTGACTTGAAAAAATTTGGAAGTCAATAGTCTGCATCTACGTGTCTGCTATTGGTGCCCTCTTTAAGATATCTGAATTAAGTCAACAAGCACAGCAAGGAACGTCATTCAGTGTAACTTTATTTACTATTTATTGCACATAATTCGAGGTCTTTAATTTCTAACCACCAAAGATTCAAAGGACTATTTTTTCCCCATGAAGTTTAACATTAACATTAGTGAATTCATTTATTCATGGTGTGGTTTTTTAATTGTAAACATCTGAATTATTCACATTGCCATAGATCCTGAACTCATAAGCGAACCATGCACAGGCTGGCAGCAAGCCAGGAAGCCACTCTGCAAGCAGACAGGTACTCTGCGGAAGGAGAAGATTCATAGCACAACATTTAATGTCCAGCCTAAGTCATCTCAGAATTATACATAGATTGACTTCTTAATTCATATAGTATCTGCAACTCAACTGGTTGGTTGGTGATAGGGTTGACCTGAATTCGGGAGAATTACTCCTGGAATAATTAAGGGAAGGGAAGGGCTCAGTCTTTCTTCTTGGTGGCTTGCTCCTCCCCAGCACCTTCATCTTTTTTCTCTTCCTCCTCCGCTTCTTTGGTTTCTTCTGCAGCTGCGCCTTCACCTCCTTCTTCTTCCTCCTTTGCTTCCTCAGCGTCTTCCTTGGCAGCTTTAACATAAAAAGCAAATGTACAAACTCCAAATGCAGGGTGAGTCCAATCAAAACATTTCTGCTTTAGTTTTGTGGAGAAACACAAGTGTCAGAATACTTCCCCCAAACCTCTTTCTCCAGGCAACCAAGCGACCACACCTGCTGGGCACAGTTTGCCACTGAACAGATATTTAAATAGAATGGATTACGTTCTAGGTACTGAATGCTCTGTTCTCTCCAGGACCTCGGGTTTTCTTTTATTATGTGTTCATTATGAATTCATTTTTGTGTTTTAGGACACCAAATGGCTGAGTTAAATGAATAGATTTTAAAATGTTTAATTAGGAATAAAAAGCAGCAGGAGGATTTTCTTTCTTTTCTTATGTTACTTTCAAAAAAGTACCATGTTAATCAGAGATCGTGTGTCTCTGGGAGAACAGCCAATTTGAGCAATGAGGTGCTTACTAAAGATCTGTTTAGGAAATAGAAAGATGTATTTTCTTTTTAAGATCATCAACTCTTTTCTGAATAACATTTCCTGGGCGTGAGTGAGGTTTCATGTATCTTACCCACCTCCTAACCAATATCCATGCCCACGGTGCCCCTGGAGTCGCAGGGTGGTTTTGCTTTTTATTTGGTTTTGTGTTTTGTTTTAATCCTACCTTCTTCCTCTTGGGCTCCCTCCTCTTCCTCAGCCTCAGCTTCGGCTTCGGCTTCGGCGTCGGCCTCGGCCTCTTCCTTCTCCTTCTCCTCCTCCTCCGCCTCTCCTTCAGAGGGGGGCTCGTCCTTGGCTTCCTCGGCTTTAGCAGCCTCAATGGTCTCCTCCACCTCGATCTGCTCCTCCTGGACGTGGCTGGTGTAGTAGGACGGGAAGGAGCGGGCGGACATCAAATAGGAGCTGGTCTGCAAACCGCCATAGGCAGATCGGCCGAAGACCTGGGAGCTCTGGGTGTAGCCAGTGGTCAGGCTGCCCACACTCGTGAAACTCAGCCGGGTCTCCTCACCTTCCAAGAGTTTCCTGGGGAGGCAGGGGTTAACAAACATGAACACCGGAAGTGTGCTCAGCCCACCACTCACCACCTTCCCCAATGCCAGGCTGAAAGGCAAAGGCAGGGTTGGGAATTATTATAACTGGGGATGCTGTGACTGAGTCCAGGAGAAATACACAAAACAACAACGAAAAAAGCGCCTTAAAATATAGTCCTGTTGGTTACACTTGAAATGTAATGGGAAGCTAAGAATAGGCCTCATTATTACAGGATTAAATTCTTCTTGGAAAAGGCCAAAAAGTAACACAATTACTCCAAAGGACTATTTTTGAAGGTTTCTGATTCAACACAAAGGAAGTCTGATTTTCTAAGGCTGACAGGCTGCTACCTGTCAAAAATGCTACTTCCATTTTTACCTGTAAGCTGCAATCTCAATGTCCAAAGCCATCTTGACATTGAGGAGGTCTTGGTATTCCTTGAGGTATCTTGCCATTTCGCTCTTTGTGGTTCTCAATTCATTTTCCAATTTGTTGATTGTGTCCTGTTGGAAGACAACCGAAAAAAAAAAATCTAAGTGTAAATCTCCACTACTATCATTTTACTACAGCATAGCTGCAAAGGCCTAGGTTTAATTAAAATCAACGTGCACATCCTAGATAAAATCTCCCCTAAAATAACTGTCGTTTTTCTTTTTAAACCTTTCTTTGCTTGCCTTAAAAAAAAAAAATCCAGCTTCACAAAGCAAGAGATGATGAAAACCAAAAAAAGAGAAAAAAAACTGATAGAAGAAAAATGTTTTGTTTTCATTAATATACCTAATGATCATCATAAAATCCCTGCAAAGAACTAAATGGATTTTTTTAAAATTGTTTCTCACTCATTAGTTAGCTTTATCAACTTTATCCAGATTATATACAAGAAATCCACTTATTTATAGGAGAATGAAGTAGATAAATTTAAATTTATTATCTCTAAAATATTTTCTATGTATCTATCTTATTTTTTCTCCTCTCCAGAAAAATGGAGATCCTTTTAAAAAGAGAAATGTTTTACTGTGACCATCATCACAATTTTGACTGTATTCCTGTCTCACTGCTAAGGGAAGACAGTGGTTGGTAAAACTAGTCAGAAAGGATAACTGGTCACAGTTATCCTTCAGAACTAATGAGAGCTCGTCGCTGTATTTATTAATCAGATGATCCACTCTGCAGCAAAGCAACTTGCGCTGAATGCAGGACAGCAGAGAGGCAAACCGGAGGCAAAGTCCAGGTCCAGTCCCTCCTCCCAGCCCCACCCAATATCCTGCAGGGCTGGGCAGCTTTATTGAGGAACGGAGATCCAACTGCACTCAGCACCTCTTAGCACACCGCAGTCGCGCCCCCGCCGCAGTCCAAGGGCCCCACCCCCTCCCACACTTCCTCCAAGAAGTCAAGTTCCACCCCCTTAATATCTGCTTGCAGAAGCCTCATCCTCTGTTCTCCTCTTTCTAGGCGCGCCGTCAACTCTCCGCACCACCCCCACTCCCGCCCATCCCAACTCGATTCTGCAGCACCCTCCCCGCCCCCTCTGCGTTTCGCCCGGCGCCTTACCTGCATAGCGCTAATGTCTGCGTTCTGCTTGTCCTCTAGCTCCTGCAACTGCTTCTCCAGCGCTTCGTTCATGCCCCGGCATGCTTCGATCTCCAGGGTCTTGGCCTTCAGCAGGCGGCGGCTCTCGGACACCTCGTCCTTGGCGGCGCGCACAGCATCGGTGTTCTTGGCGGCACTCTCGGTCAGCACCGTGAAACGGCTCTTGAACCATTCTTCGGCATTCTGCATGTTCTTGGCGGCCAGCTTCTCATACTGGGCGCGGATGTCCTTGAGCGCGGCGGAGAGGTCGGGCTTGGAGGACACATCCATCTCCACGGAGATCTGTGCGTACTGGATCTGCGCCTGCAGCTCGGCGATCTCCTCTTCGTGCACTTTCTTCAGAAAGGCGATTTCGTCCATCAGGCTGTCGATGCGCTTTTCGAGCTCGGCGCGGGCGAGAGCCGCCTCGTCGGCCCCTTTGCGCGCTTCCATCAGCCGGCCCTCGGCGTCCTCACGGCTCAGCACCTCCTCTTCGTAGCGCGCCTGCAGGTTGCGCAGGGTCTCCTCCAGCCCCTCGCGCTCGCCCTGGAGCGCCTGCTTCTCGTTGGTGGCGTCTTCCGCTGCCAGACGCAGATCACGGATCTCCTGCTCGTAGAGCGCCCGGAAGCGGGAGGGCTCGGAGTGCTTCTGGCGCAGCACCAGCAGCTCGGCTTCCAGGACCTTGTTCTGCTGCTCCAGCTCGTGCACGCGCTCGATGAAGCTGGCGAAACGGTCGTTGAGGTCCTGCAGCTGCGCCTTCTCCTGGGTGCGGATCGACTTGAGGTCGTTGCTGATGGCGGCGACCTGGCTCAGGTCGAGGCTCTCGAGGCTGGGCATCAAGGAGCCGGAGCTGGAGGAGTAGCTGCGCCGCACGGACAGCGAGGAGGAGACGGGCGCGGAGTAGCTGGAGTAAGCGGAGCGCGCGGTGCTGTAGCCGCTGCGCACGCTGGAGATGTGCACCCGGGGCGTCTCCACGTAGCGCCGTTTGTAGGAGGTCGAGTAGTACGGCTCGTAGCTGAAGGAACTCATGGTGCCGGTCGGTGCCCCCTGGCCGGCGGCGGAGATGGGGGCCTAGAGAGAAGAACGGGGGAGAGAGGGAGAAGGGAGGATGGATGGCTGTGTGCGGCTCAGCTCGGTCCTGCCACCCCTATTTATACTCGGAGGGACTCTGACGCAGCCGCGATCGATCACGGCGCGCCTGGCCAGTGGGGGCAGCGCGCTGCTGCAGCCAAGGCAAGGATTCTGCGCAAAAGGAAGGTGGGGGCGAGCCGCGGCCCGCGGGGATGCTGCGGCTGTAGTCCTTTGCACTTTTCTCTGAGACCCTCTGTTTTCTCTCAGACCCCGAACCCCCTCACTCATTTCCTTTCCCTAAGCCCACCCCATCCCACATAATCCTTGACCCGTGTATTACTCGGATTCGATCGTGCCAACAATAATCAGACACCTTAGTTTTCCATACCCCACCCAGTACCATGGAGACACACTACCCCTCTAAGTCGCCCCTTCCCCACCGGGGTTCAGCATCCCCCTGGTATTTATGGTGCCTCCAGGGCACTGGAGATAAATGATTGTCTAAGGTTGCATGTATGCGGCATATATGGAGGAAAGTTTTCTGTAGCTCTTTCTGGCACTTTATCTTTTTCACCTGATTAATTCTTTCATGCGCTCCTCCTACACACGCGCGTGCACACACACACACACACACACACGTGAAACTGCGGCACCGCCGCTGTTGATTTTAGTGTTTCTAAACCCTTTGCGCAGTTCCTATCAACCTTTTAGTGTTCCTTGATTTCCTCATTTCTTTCTGGGTAATGAGGCCTCGAATACTTTGAGCGTGTTGAAGCGTGTAAGTGGAGGGGAGCTGAGAAGGTGTTTGAAACTAACAGGGGAGAAAACCGACTTGCAAAGGCAGCGGCCAGCTCTGCGGCGGGGGAACTTCGACTGTCACACGTTGCCTGTATGTTCTTCGTCCCTAAATTCCTGCTCCACACCACTAACTCCATCACATTGAAAGCCTCTTTCCCTCTTTTTAGACTCGTCTTGCACCGAACCTGGTGATTTCAAGGAGCTAGGTAGGCAGGTGGCTGATTTTCAGAGGGAAGCTACTGCCGCCGCCGGGAGTGTGGAGCGTGTCTCCAGGGAGCAGAGCTCCGACCGAGACACCTTGTTCTGGGACGGGTGGAAAATAGCTGTGTGGTTCTGCCCCCGAACCCCTCTGATAAATGCACAACAGATACAGTCCGAAATCCATTGGTTTCTTTTAGGGAAAACCCAGGTACCTGAAAGAGTGTGCACGCCGTAATGCACATTGATAAAACCTTGCGGTTACAGAGCATATTCAAACACCTTACGTTAGGGAGTTCTCCGGTTTCAGGGACAGATTGCAGAGATATACGTAGGACACCTAAGCTTTTTCTAAGCAAGCATTTAATCTGTGTTTTCTTTGTATAAGAGTAGCATTTGCGATGCAACATACTGATTTTTTAAAGAAGCAAAGGAAGGGGAAACGTGAGAGTTTTCAGACAGAGAAGCCGGTATCGCTTTCGCTGTGATGCTGAGAGGGACGAAGTACTTGGAGCTGGTACCACAGATGATGCCGGAGCAACTGCAGCCTCTCCCCTGGACAGGACAAGATGAGGTTTTTGTAACTTTAAAAAACCTTTCCCTTTTTGTGGTCGAGACTGCAGCAGAGAACTTGTATGAGATTTCTAGACAATCTGTAAGGTCTCAAGTAATGCAACTTTAGAAACATGAATATTAGTCATTTAAATCTATCAAGCGGTCCAGCCACACTCAGTCATCCTGAGATCTTCAAGCCGAGGCTGTCCTGCATTTTGCCTGACCCAGGCAGATGTGATTAGGCACTTATTATGATGCCTTTTTCAGCCCATGCATCTTTGGTCTTCTCATTGATCAGTGACTCAACAGTGGGAAAGGCTTCTCTGGGGAAAGAGGGGAGTGTTGGTAAAACTTCAGTAAGCCATATTTTTATCTGCTCCCAATTACCCATATATGGATGACAAGTGACAGAATGGATTTTTTTTAACCTGCCCCCATTTAAACCACATTGTTTCACACTCACTGTGTGAGTCCGCCTATGCCGCTTAGCTATTCATGAGTTCATTTCCTTTGTGCCAGCTCCTTACCCTCCGGTTCAGGTCACCCTCAGAGATCTTAAGTCCATCAGCGGTTTTTTGTTGTTTTTTTTTTTTTTGCCATGGCTCCTGGCTGAAGCCTTTGACTGCGGAGGAAGTGGCTCAGAAAGAGGGAGGCGGCTGACGGATGCTGCAGGGACACGGAGATGCTGCGGAGACAAGGAACCTGTGGGCCTCTGCTTCGGTCCTTTGAGCAGCTGAAAAGAAAGGCACCCTGGAGTGTGAAGGGTAGGAATGAGAGGGCAGGGACCCTTGTCTTTGCTGAACCTGGTGAACAGGGTGTGGGGAGAGGGGCAGATCAACTCTATTTATGAATGTAGAGCTCAGGTCTTTTTCAATAGCTTCACTACAGCTTTGCTTTAGAGGGGCTCCCAGAACCAGCCTGTGTTTGAGTTTGGTGACACTACCTTCAACCTTCCTCTGCTAGGTACCAGCTCCTTTTTAAAATATTCTGTCCACTGAGTGAAGTAAGTCAGCCAGAAAAGGAAAAATATCGTATGGCATTCCTTATATGTGGAATCTAAAAAGAAATGATATGAATGTACTTAAAAACAGAGACTCACAGACTTAGACAACGAACTTGTGGTTCCCCAGGGAAAGGATGGAAGGAAGGGGTAGTTAGGCAGTTTGAGATGGACACTCTGCTATATTTAAAGTGGGTGACCAACAAGGACCTACTGTACAGCACATGGAACTCTGCTCAATGGTATGCAGCAGCCTGGATGGGAGGAGAGTTTGGGGGAGAATGGATACATGCATATGTATTTGTATATGTATGTGTATATATGTATAGATAGATAGTTGTGGCTGCGTCCTTTTGTTGTTCACCTGAAATTATCACAACATTGTTAATTGGCTATATGCCAATACAAAATAAAAAGCTTAAATAAATAAATAAAATTTTCTGTCTAGTCATTCTTCTTTTTAACTCCTCTTCCCAGCACTTTCTTCTGGATACCCCTGTGGCATCAGTTCTGTGTGTGTGTCAAAGCAAAGGTAAAATGAACAACTTTATAGATTATCTGTTTTAAAAAAGAAGCTTGACTTTCCATCCCTTATCACAAATGATTCTGCATTAGTGCTGTTTGCAGGGGCGACATTATTTCTTTAGAAGAAGGCTCTGGGTTCTTGTTACACAGCTGTGCATTTATTCCCCTTTAAGCACATTCTCCACCAACATGAAATTGGTTGAGGACTGCCAACAAACCCACTCCTAGGAGATAAAAAATATTTTTAAAATAAATAGACAAGTATGTTGATGAAATTCATAGAATTTCTACCACTCTGGTTATCCCTGATAGCTCTGTAATTCCCCTAAATGACTGTTTGAAGTAGTTTACTTTAAAAGTAAAATGTTTTAGCATTATCACAGAGCTCATAAAATATAACTCTTCGAAGCACTGAAAAAATTTAACCCTCTCATGCTGGGAGAGTCAGAAGTTTCAGATGGCTAGAACCTGGTGACTTTCATTATTTTAAAATCCTTTGGCAAATGAGAAATACTGTATTGGCATTTGTTTGGAAAAGCTCAGCTCTAGGCTGAGATTCTTATGAGGCAGATCTCCTGAGAACATCATTCCTGGGGTCAAGAGAACAAAGTTCTGCCACCAGTGAGCAGCAAGAACAGTCCTCTTCCCTATCCGGTCTCCACTCCTCACCTTCCAGTATATCCATCACTGTGAGCAACATTGGCATCAGTTTGTCCGTGCAAAGAAGGATGATGGAAATAAACATGTGCAGGATGCCTACCCTAAGATAGGCATTTGATATCTTATTATTTCATAATTCCCACATCTCCATGAGATGGTTATTGTTTGTTCTGAGCAGACAACTGAGGCCCAGAGATGGTAAGTCATGTGCCAACTCACCCAGCTGCTCCACACCTAAGCTCCAGCTGCTTCCAGTCTGACTAGACCTCTATCCATTACACATGCTGCGGCCTCTGGCCTTTGCTGCTGCTTTCAGTCTCTGCGGAACGTGATAATTGTATGCTGTAGTCTCTGTGCTTTTGCTAAACCACTAATGTTTGCGGGGGAGACCCTTAGGAACTGATTTACACCGTGAAGAAACTGTTCATGAGCCTCTTTTATTTGGACACCTAGTGCTGGCAATAAACTGCAGAATTATTATAGGTTTCTTAAGAACTTGGAACTTTCTTGGAACTCTTAAGAGTTCCAAAAATAAAATGGAAGCTACCCGCAGAACATGACACGTAACTGATGATGTGACTTTCTCGACACTAAACATCAGTTTACAAGACACCTTTTCTGCAATGAATGACCTAAATGCAACTTCACTAATTTAAATGCTTTAGAATAACTACATTATGACATCTACCTTTTTACTAATTAAAGTATCTTTGTTTTCCACTCTTGTAATAGGTCTTCTTTAGCAAAATGACCTTTAAAAATGCTCTAAAGAATAAAAGAAATGCTGGCAGCCAACATCTCATTATGGGAGTTTATCATGCTTTCTCTACATCTTTACCTTTTTTGGAAAGAAATACAGGTAAAATCAACAGAAAATGCATATCATGTGGAAACCACAAATGTATTACCTCTGCTTTTTAGAACCAGTTTATTTCCTGATATATTATACTCACCATTGGAATCATCATACACAAATCTCTCCATCCCTAGGGAAATATATTTGAAAGAAAACTTTCCTCCTTGTAATATAAAATATGACTAATTTTACAGCATCACATTCTGAAGTGATGTATCATAAAAAGTGCTATGCGGCATTATAACATGTAGACGGCGGCAGGAATGAGAATGTCACTTGAATAAATTAAAAATGAACAGTACCCTTGTATTCAGGACACGTGCAATATTGGAAATGACAGGAAGTTGCTGCCATCCAAGCAGAAATGATGACCATAGGTTTAAACCCCTAAATGCTTGCTGCATGGAACCAGTCAAGGGAATGTATGTTCTCCCTAGAGACCTGTTTCACAGTGCCTTGCCCTTAATCACAGTCAAAGATGCATAGGTAAAAAGAGGCTAT